CAATTCTAAAGAAAAATGTATTTATACTTTGATATTGAGAGCATAGCTGAAGAACTACAGCAGTTTTTTATACAGGTAAATGTGATTCACTGTCTGTAAATGATACTTAGCTATGTGTCCTGAACTTCTAATCTAAAATGTTTAGACTTTATTCTGGACTACTGGAATTAATATTGCAGTTTAAATGAAAATGGTGATACAGCAGTTGCCAGCATTTTGTACCGAAAATATCCAAAGAATATGTTTGAATACTCTGCATTTTAGCAGTATTCATGGTGAATAAATAAAGCCATGTTAAGTAGAATCAGCATGCCTAATGTAGTACTGTATATCAAATTCTCCAGACATGCTTCTGTAAATAATGTGCTTTAGATAAAAGCATTGGAATCGTACACTATTTTTTATAACCTTGACTTTGTGCAATATGCTTTTGTGTGATATACATGTTGAAACTTGCTTGGCAAGTTAACAAAATTGATAAGATGTTGCTAGGCTGTCCAGTGTTTCCATACTTAGTATTGCTAGAATTGGTATAACATCTTGGGCATGACAGATAATGTCCTTGCTTTTGTCACTGAAGGGCAGGGAAGAGCTTGGTAAATTGCTAAAGTAGAAAAGTAAAGATTAACTTAACTTGATTAGGTCTTCTATATAAAACCGGATCTGTTTAGACTGCCTTATACTGATATGTACCCTGTTTCCCCAAAAATAAGACCTAACCTGAAAATAAGCCCTAGTGTGATTTTTCAGGATGCTCGTAATGTAAGCCCTACCCCCAAAATAACACCCAGTTAAGTGAAATCCCGCCATCCACCATTGTGCAGCAACCAAAAGAAGATGACATGACTGTCTTTGAATAAATGTAGATTGTTGTACATGAAAAAATGAAACATCCCCTGAAAATAAGCCCTAATGTGTTTTCTGGAGCAAAAATTAATATAAGACCCTGTCCTATTTTCAAGGAAACATGGTATGTAGGTGGCATGTCATATTTGTCACTTTTCCCTGGCTTTAAGCTCCTTGTTTGTAACTTAGGTGAGCTTGGTTTTTTTATGCATATTTCTACTTGCAGGAATTTAGGACCTCAATAATATACATTTGGCCAGAGTCTAAAGGCCTAATTCAGTCACTTGCAGTCAAAACTTACACTTCAGTTCACCTTATTCCTTATACTATTCCACGGAACTTGACTTTTTAGACAACCATTTGTAGTCATCAGACAAGCACAGTGGATCTGAAAATGTCCAAAAGGAGCCAAGTTTCCTGAATTCCGATCAGTGATTTCCAATTTTGGTTCCCCAGATGTTCTTGGAACAGAAACCTTCACTACTAGCTATCTATGCTGGCCAGGATTTCTGGGAGTTCGAGTCCAAGAACATCTAGGAACCAAGGTTGGAAACCAGTGCTTTAAATTCTAGTACATTTTAATGGTTGTATCAAGTAATCTATTCTACATCAGTGTCACTAGACACATAATTGGATCTGCACATAAGGAACTACTCAAACCTCCTAACTGAGGTTATGATTTCCCTAATTCCAGAAAATTCTCTGGGAGTGGGCTTAATCATTTGAAGCTGGTTTACCTTGCCTACTGCTGTCTGTTTTGACTATATTTTCCAAGGACAAAAGCAGAGGCCTTTCCCACCACCTATGCCATATTTTAAAATGAGATGCCTCATAACAAAGACCTTCGTAAATTCAGACCTTTTGAATGCAAAGCCAGTGCTCCACCAGTAAGCTGTGGATTCTTCCTATCAAGAATATGCCAGGCGCAAGGGCAAGGGGCCCAGTCCAGATTAATCTCTAGTGCCCAGAAGACATAATCATTTTAGATGACTCAGATGAATTTTGGATAACACTGGGTAATTTGCCTGTGTTTGCTTCAATGCTGTATCACGGACTGGTTCTATTGCTTGCCTTCCCTTTCAATTGTTTTGCAGTGTAGTGCTGTGGAAAAAAAATAGGGCTATTACTTAAGAAACATACCCACACATGTCTTTTGGACTCACAACCACTGTGTTATTTCTATTCTAGCCATGTATTTAGAAATTGCTTTATTTACTTCCAACCGTGTGTGCTTAGGATCTCCTGTAGTTGCAAAGCTCTTATGACTTTGTTGACTTGCTGATTTCTGTGAGACTCAACTACCCAAAACCAGCATGCTTGATTGTAATCCAAACAGTACTGTACATTGCACTCTGATACAGCTTTTTGGAATGTGAGAATATGCTTGCATTTACCATGTAATAATGTATGTGAAGTTTATTTTGAATATTGAATCATATAGCTAGATCTCTTTATTACTTATTCCAAAGAAACTGTAAAATGATTTTAGCCCATTTTCTCATGAGGTTTCGTTCCTGCTCATATAATAATGTAAACTGAATCAGGAAAAATTGCATATGCCTTAATGTAAAATAAAGATATTAATTAATTTAATGTATTCATTTGTTAAGGGCTATGTTAACATTTTCAGCTACATGGTGTTCTTTATACAATTTGTTGTACTCATTGGAAAAACCCACTTTCTTGCACTACATATAGCTTTCTTCAGTGGTATTGCTTATACAAGTTACTTTCCTAGGAAGAAAGTTAAAACATAGGAATAACATGCCCTTACTGATGAATTGTGGTGCACACGGCAGCTCATGCTGTACTTATTAAGAGATGTAGAAAAACAATACTCTTCTTCCTAACATATTTGAGGTCTGTGCAGACTGAACCGGAAAGAGTTAATGAGAGCCATCTGATATTTTGAGAATAGAGCCAGTGTTTATGGTGGCCCTCTTTCCCACTTTACTTTCTGTTGAGCTTTGCTCCCAGCTAATTTTACAAACTAAAATCTTGCTAGGGAAGAAGGAAGCACTTGCAACTGAGTTGTTGTTGAAGCTTTACTGTCATTCTTGCCTAATATTTAATAACTCAACTTGGACATGTGGAAATCCAGGCTTATGGCTTTAGTATATGTAAAAGGATATATTCTGTTGTCCAAACTTCCTTTAAACATCTTAGAAACCTGATTGTTGTGTTTGCCCCCATTCATGTGCCAGATTGTGTAACAATCTTCAAAATGTACAGCAAAATTAAATAAACTTTAATGTATGAACTAATAACTTGAAAAAAGAGAAGTTGAGAAATAATCAATTGCTTTAAACTAGACTAGAGCAAACTCACAATTAGTTGAATAAATCTTACTTTAATTCTCCAAAGCACCTTTCAGCTGGGTAGGGGCAAAACTTTCCATGATTGCTGCATGTAGCTGCTTGAGTAGAAAAGGAGGGGAGAATAAAGGATAAGAGTCAACCTTGAATGCGTAGTAGTACAGATTTCAGTACAGCTTGCCCTCTGATGTGCAGACATGTCCTTTGTTCAGAGACACATCCTAATGAGTGGTGTGAGGTTGAGTTGAATATGTGATTTTAAGAGTCTTCTGTTTCTACCAAAAAAAAGACAACAACACATTGATTTTCTGAAATATAAGCTGAAATGTATACATATGCTGTCTTCAAAGCTGAACTCTTAATCCTTAGCCAAATAGAATTCTCCAAATAATCTACAATGATGTGGCACCCAGACACCATAGCGAAGAGATCACCATCTTCCCTGCCTTGACATCTTGCTTGTAATTGCATTTCCAGTAAAAGGCAACCACATTGCACTGAAAATCAACACTGAATGAAACAATACATAGCAAATTGCAATGATTAGATTGTTTGGAGTTTAAAAACAAAGTGTAACCTCTGCTTTGTTTGCTAAAGATTCAGAATAGCATTTTTGTCATTCATGACTCAGAATGCTGTTGCCTAAAAAGAATAATGTCCCATTATTGTCAGTGTAGCAGTGTAGCATTTCTTTGGAATTACCAAATTCATTTTACTTGTAAAAGAAATATGCAGGGGGGGAGGGAAATTCATGAAGTTATCTGCACTTTCCTGCTTTCTTCTGTGCAGCTAATTTAAAGCAGAATTTCCTCCACATGCTATATTGATGTAGGTCATTATTTGAAGTCCTACATTTGTGCAACAATTGTGATGCAAAGAGGTTTTCCCAGGGCTATAGTTTAGCAAACAAAACAAAGCCCTCTAGATCTGATTATCCATCATTCAGTTAAACAAGGACAATATCTCTGCTGGTTCATTTTCTTTTATGAGCAAAAGTGTTGGGTCTTCAGTGTGTCATCCAGCACAGACAATTGTGGTCTCAGTTCTGGGCAGTCCTCTGAGAACAATAATCTTATGATCTCTCCTTCAGGTTGCCTCCCTCTCTCTGCCTAATTGTAAGAGAACTCCTATATGAATGCCTGGGGAAAGTATAAGGTTTTACAGCTACAAAATATTGTTGTTTTCGTACTTGAAAAATACATTATTCCCTCTGATAGAACAGTCTTGATAGAAGACATGAAACCTGCCTACAGCAAAGAGAAACACACACACACCCATAACATAGTGAACTGTTTGTATGGAAAGACCCTTGTAATCTGATTTAAGATTTGCTGACACAGGATTCAGTCATGTAAACGAATACTGGAACCTTTAGAGTAACTTTCTCTTCAGATCACTATCTTCGTAAAACGATGACTCTGTGCAGATGCCTTTTAAAAGAACTGTTTATTTCAGAGATTTTTTTTTTTGTTTTTCTTGAAGGATCACATATTCAGTTTGTCCTCGCACACAAGTGTTCTCTGTACTTTTACATGTATCTGTTCAGCATTCACAGGTAGCAGACAGATATTCAAAAAGACCCATTGGACTAAATCCAACATTAGTCATACCTAGAGTAGACGTAATGAAATTGTAGCCAGTCCATGCATTTCAGTGGGTCTGCTCTAGATAGTGGTAGTGTTGGGTTTAGTCTAGCAGGTCTTCTTGAGTTTAAGTTGACACCTTGTGGCATATATCAGTGATTTCTATTTCAACCATTTACAACTAATGGGCTGCATGAAAAGGCCACTTTAAGCAAATGCATAATTTATTTTGTTGTTTTCTCTTTTATTTCCTTAGATAAATTCAGACAACAGATCAGAGTTCACTGAAGCAGGCACTGAAATGGGGACAGAGAAAAATCAGAATGTGGAAAGCAGTTCTATGTTGGAATTTCTCAATGATGTACCCTTTACTCTTGCACCACATGTATTGGCGATACAAGAGACTCATAATGACCTCCCCAGACAGTTGCTCTCCTATGATGTCAGTGACAATCTAACAAGATTTTGGTATGATTTTACACTTGAAAATTCAGTGTTATGTGAGTCATAGCTGAGTCAATTTAAAACATGTACCTTGAGTGTTTGAAGTAAAATACACAAATATTGTATGTTGCTTACCTGTACTTCTGTGTGGCACACTTATTTATTTCTTTATTTAAGAATATTTAATAAGTAAATATTCTTAAATAAATATGTCTGAATAACATGTGGCTAAATATTAACGTTTTTCATCCTTGTGTCATTTCATTCCTTAATTGAAATGCCTAAGCTGGCAACAGAGTTATAATAAAAACGGTGTAATTTGAACTTGTGCAAAACAATCCATCCGAGTTTTCCTTTTATTCCCAAGAGGATATACAAGTCTTAACATTGGTTCAGGGTTATCCTTTCAAAAGGAGTCTCAGTACATATTACATTAGTTACCTTGGTCACGTGCACTTACATTTCATAAAGAGAGAACAAATATGTCATGGTGAATAAATTGTTAATTCGGTTAAAATATTCTATAAATTCTGTAACACTGAGTAAAATGAAATTTTAAGGATTCCCTATGTGGTTACACATAATTGACTTTGCATATCTGTAATGTAGAATATGCTGCTACCTTGTCATTGTCTCTGGAGGGGGAGTTTAGAGTGTTCTGGGAAGTTGGACAGTTTTTCTTTGCTGCTGCTTATTCTCATTTCCACATATGCTCCTAGTTTGCATCTTGATCAGTTTGTGCATTGCAAGCCTCTGGACCCATTATAAACATTTTTATCTATGTGTGTTCTTTACCAGGCATCTTTTAAAAATATTTTGGGGTGATAGATGAAAAAGCTATAGGATATAGCTATTGAGAATGATGAAACACTTTCACATCAAACTAAATAAGATAGTGTCATATCCAATTGTTCATTTTGCATGTCTTCATTTCAATACTTACTTATTAATGTCTCTGTGTGGTGTGTGTGTGTTTCTTACCCATGTAATTTTATTTTTATTTTTTTTAAGGAGTCAACTAGGAAAGAAAGATTATCTTTTTGCTATGCCAAAAATTAATCTTTCAGATGAAATTTGTAACATGGATATTTAAAAGTTTAAATACAAATTTCCTCATTATTGTTCTGTTTTTAGGATATTGTACCAAAAGTACTAGACAACAAATATGTTTACTTAAATTGTTGGGGTGTGTGCCCTGTTTTCCCGAAAATAAGACCTAATCTGAAAATAAGCCCTAGTATGATTTTTCAGGATGCTCATATTATAAGCTCTATCCCCAAAATAAGCCCCAGTTATGTGAAACTCCGCCATCCACCATTGTGCAGCAACGAGAAGAAGTTGACGTAGCTTCATTTGAATAAATGTAGATTGTTGTCTTTTATTCCCAAGAGGATATACAAGTCTTGACATTGGTTCAGGGTTATCCTGTCTCATTTTCGGGAAAACATGATATATTTGTTCCTTGGTGAAACTGATTATTGCTATTGTATAAGACCCTGTCTCATTTTCGGGAAAACATGGTATATTTGTTCCTTGGTGAAACTAATTATTGCTGTTATGTGTGGAGTGTATTCGTGTATACTAAATAAAACTATGATTAAATTATTCATTCCTTTTTTTAAAAAAAGTATGTCGCTTAACATTTGAAAAAAATTATCTTTGCATTAACCATGGTTTGGCCCGGTTTGGCATGACGCCTGCACAGGTGTTCTGTGGGTGTCATACGCTTTCCTCTCCTGCATGATCATCCACTCACCAGCAGCACCACCTGTTTTGCAGTATATATGTTCTCACACACACTCACTCACACATATACACATATACACAAAGTTTTCTGTAAAAAAATTCATTACAGATTACACTAAATTTCACTATACTGTATAACAGTTTGGGACCTCAGTACATGGCAGAACACCTACTTCCAACCAGGACTGCCCCATCCTAACTGCACATCCGCGGCAGGAGTGCTGAGGATGCTAACCCAAAAGAGGCTGGAAGGGAGAAAACAAGGGACCAGGCCTTCTCAGTAGTTGCTCCTTGACTATGGAACAAACTACCATCTGAAATCCAGCTGGCCCGTTCTCTGATGATTTTCAAGAAATCACTAAAAACTCTGTTATTTCATCAGGCTTTCCAAAACATTTCATCTGAGGAGACTGCTGAATCTATTAGCTACTAACTTGTTTTAATTACCATCTACTTTTAAAGTGTATTTTAAAGTATTTTAAAATGTACTGTCATTTTCATTTTGAATTTCTTGTTATGTTGTTGTGTTATTATTGTTATTGCTATTTTCAGTGAACTTCCCAGAGTGACCTTTGGTCAGATGGGTGGTATAAATAAATAAATGTGTGTGGTCTTACTTGTGTCCATGACCTTTGGTCAGATGGGTGGTATAAATATATAAATAAATGTGTGTGGTCTTACTTGGGTCCTTTAAAAATGAATTGTCACAATAAAAGGGTTAAACTGATCTTTGAATTATAATGTTTAATTATGTTGCTAGTTGTGAATTGCCTTAGGACTGCATTTTGGAAAAAGAAAGATTATTCAAGTGTGAATTTAATTTATGAAATAAAAATAAGGCTGTGAAATTATCTCTGACGCACCCCTTATTGATCTTGTTTGTTTGTTTAAAATATTTATACTCCACCTTTCTCCTTCAAAGGACCCAAGGTGGCTTATATCTAATGGGACTGAATTATTAATAATTGGGTAAAGGTAAAGGTAAAGGTAAAGGTTCCCCTTCACATTTAGTCCAGTCGTGTCCAACTCTAGGGGGCGGTGCTCATCCCCGTTTCCAAGCCATAGAGCCAGCGTTGGTCCAAAGACAGTTTCCGTGGCCAGTGTGACTAGACACAGAACGCTATTACCTTCCCCACCATGTGAGTACCTATTTATCTACTTGCATTTGCATGCTTTTGAACTGCTAGGTTGGCAGGAGCTGGGAGAAGCGACGGGAGCTGACTCCATTGTGTGGATTTGATCTTACGACTTCTGGTCTTCTGACCTTGCAGCACAGAGGCTTCTGCGGTTTAACTCGCAGTGCCACCACGTCCCTAATTGGATACTGTGATATTATTATCATGTTGGGGCTCTGTACCAGAATGATAAATAGGAAGGGATTTTTATGAAGACATCACACACTGACATACTCTTTTTAATATTAAATATTCCTTTATTAACACTTATTTCTGTGGCACTAGCAAATCATGATTTGTTGGTGTGTTTGCAGTAAGTAATTCTCTGTCTATGTAGGCTTATGGAAAAAACCTAGCCATTGTACATTAATGGCTGCTGCATGAAGATGATGCCATACTTAATATTTTTTTTAAAAAAATTCAGATCTATCTCTATGGGTAGAGAGATTTAAAGGAAGAAGTAAAGAATGGCCAGAGACAAAAATTAAAACAAGCATAATTATTAACCAGGCTATAAATGAGTCTTCAAAGCCTCTGTGGGTTGGAAAAACAGGTAAACTGCTTGGCAGGCCTATGCTTGATTCAAAATTACAGAGCCAAATACTGCTCCTTTCTTAGATTCTAGTACTCAAAGTAGAGGCCTAGCTTTCTTGAGGCTTTTGAACAGGGTTAACTTCATCTGATATCCAAAAATTGCAGATGTAAGACATTCCAAAGAAAGAAAAATCTGGGGTGTCTAGTGTACCATGACATTTCATGGTCAGAGAAACTGCAGAAGAATCTCAATATCCCAAAATCTGATGTCAGATATAGCCATATTATTAAAACCAACATCTGGACAACTGTTTTTAAACCTCCTGAAAGTTAGAAAGTGCTGTTTTTTAACAAGTTAATTTAGAATTACATTTTAAACTAGAAATAGAGGCTTACTTTGCATGCATGCCTATTCTTACTAGGGATTACGCCCAGTAGGCTCTATAGAGGGCAATATAGAGTTTAATAGGCGGTGAAGAAGTGAAGAAGAAGGCGTCTTTTAATTTTCCCTAGGAAGCTGGGCTGAGGGCGAAGGCCAGATCTGTTTGCATGGATGCCTTGCTGAGTTTTTTTTCCCCTGGGCTTTCTTTTTGTCTCCTGAGCACATGGCCTGGGGGTGGGGCCTAGGGGTGGGACTTCCTGCTTTATAAGAGTGTTTCCCCTCAAATTTTGTATCTGGCCTTAATATGGTAAATAGGAAAGCCAATTAGATTAGCATAAGCCAGGGAGTCAGGAAAGTTTTAAGGATCAGATCATACTTTTGCACTATTAAAGAGCAGGCCGGGTAGGTGGGGCTCGTCAGCCATGGAAGGCAGCCCATCTAGGAGAAGGAAAACTCCTATTTCAAACCTCCACTGCCTTGTGGCTATATCCACTCATGGAAAAGGCTTCAGGAGTTAACCTGGAGGCAAAATCCGGAGCTGGAGTCCCGAAGGCAGCATGTGTCGTTCTGCCAACTCCTGCAACATTGCTGGAACCAGTTGTATTGGCTCTTGCCTTTCCATTGGATCATTTCAGCAATGTGGAGAGGGGGGATCTGCTGCTTGGGTAACAGCCTATCCTCCATATTACCTTACCCGGGCTTCATGCTCTGGAGAGGACACTTCTCGATTCAGAGCATGTTACCATAGTCTCTTGTGACGGAAGGATGCCTATACCAGGCAGTGAAACTGCACCTCACAGGCGCCCAAGGATGTCCAGGTAGCATAAGGGCAGCTTTCTTTTTTAACAGGATGTTAGGCTGGAGCTTTGGCATGGAGCCTTTGAGCTAGACCTTTTTCTAGGTGAGTGAAATGCATGTCCATCTGAAAGTGTGGGTCTGTGGGCTAGAACTCCCAGAATTCTGCCTGGTTAATTACTGTGGAATTCTGGGAATTGGAATTCAAAAAATCTGAATGGCACATCCCTAGTACAGTATATAGAAATTAATGTACAAATGACTTATCTATGGAGCACCCTTATTCCTTGTATTTGAAGGTCACACTGGCAGAGTTCTCAATAGCAGTCTGTTCATGACCACATTTCCCCCTTTATGATCATCTGTTCATTCCTTTTCATAAAATATGATCAAGAATGTACATTTTTACTTTTTAAAGACGAGGAACACAAAAGGAACAGGATCCAAATGAAGGGAGAGGGTGCACCAAGGCAGCTCTTCTGGTTTGTTTTCAAATAAAAGGAGAAAGAGGGAAAGGGTCTGAAACAGAATTATAA